AAGTATTACAAAGGGTATTACATATGTGTCCTTCCCCCCCCCTTGACAATCCCCTGCCCTCCCTTACCCCCCAGTGTCTTATGTCCATTAGTTATGCTTATATGCATGCATACAAGTCCTTCGGTTGATCTCTTACTCCCCTCCCTCCTGCCCCCCAACCCTCCCTGGCCTTCCGCTGCAGTTTGACAATCAGTTTGAGGCAGCTCTGCCTCTGTATCTATTATTGTTCAAAAGTTTGTAATGGTCTTTATTATCCATGAATGAGTGAGATCATGTGGTATTTTTCCTTCATTGACTGGCTTATTTCACTTAGCATAATGCTCTCCAGTTCCATCCATGCTGTTGCAAATGGTAAGAGTTCCTTCCACATATCTTATTTTGAAGTAAAAAAACAAAACGGGAACAAATACAATATTTGTATTTGCATGTGGCCCGCGGGCCATAGTTTGAAGACCCCTGGTCTTAGGCGACCCCTGTGAAAGGGTAGTTCGACCCCCTAAAGGGTCACGACCCACAGGTTGAGAACCTCTGGCTTAGAGCAACAGCGAACATGCTATGTTGTCTGGTTTGATGTGCTAGTAGGCTTTCATTGTGAACATCCACATTTTGTTTTTATAGCTATTCCCCTTGACTTTGACGTTAGTTCACCACTGACATATGGCACCCCCAGCTCTCGAGTGGAGGGAACCCCAAGGAGTGGCGTGAGGGGCACACCCCTGAGGCAGAGGCCCGACCTGGGGTCTGTGCGGAAGGGGCTGCAGGTGGATTTGCATTCCGATGGGGTGAGTACACAGCACAGTCTTCTGGTAGCTTGGTTTGGGGGCATAACGTGGTTCATTAACGTGCTTCTGTCATATTTTTCTGTGTAGCCAGCAGCAGAAGATGTAGTAGCAAGTGAGCAGTCTCTAGGCCAAAAACTTGTGATTTGGGGAACAGATGTAAATGTGGCAACATGCAAAGAAAATTTTCAGGTGAGCTATGTGTTCAGATTCATACTCTTAAGGCTGAAAATGCTGGGGGAAAGTGTTAATGACCTATATTTAAATAGCCATAATACCTAGTGGTAGATTTTTTAAAATATATTTTTATTAATTTCAGAGAAAAGGAGAGGGAGAGAATCATGGATCGCCTGCCCCTCCCCCCACTGGGGATTGAGCCATGAACTTCTGGTTCACCAGTCAATGCTCAACCACTGAGCCACTGGTGCCAGGCCCCACTGGTAGATTTTTATGCAGCTTAGAATTGTTGCTATTTTCTTGCTTTGTGATATTGACATACTCATAACGTTGTATTTTGAATACTTGCTTATTCCTCGGTGCATTAAACTTAATATTTTTCTCCCCACATCAAGAGATTTCTTCAGCGTTTTATTGACCCTCTGGCTAAAGAAGAAGAAAATGTTGGTATAGATATTACTGAACCTCTGTACATGCAACGACTTGGGGAGGTAATTATATATTCTTACTTACAAATTCAAATTATGCATTTCAAAACAATCAGACAATAACTTGTTCATTTGATCTTGTAGATTAATGTTATTGGGGAGCCATTTTTAAATGTAAACTGTGAACACATAAAATCATTTGACAAAAATCTATACAGACAGCTCATCTGCTACCCACAGGTAAGAATTTGTCTTTGACATTGATGAATTCCATAAATATCTAGAATATCTTAAGAGTTTCTGAATAGCAGAATTTCCTCGGTGGTAACAGATAGAATATGCCTGCAAGGCAAAAGAACTTGCCTTAGAAAGCCATGTTTAATCTCCTTTAAGATAAGCCCTTTCACACTTTAACATTTCTGAAATTGGGGTGTGTATTACTGTCAGTGACGTATTATTGTTTAATTGGCACTATGTCAACTATATTGATTGTAGCTATAGACTTTGGAGGCAAGCAGACTCAGTTTTAAATATTGATGTTTTCTGCTTAATAGCTGTGTAACCTGGGTCAAGTTGCTTAGCTCCCCGGCCCCAAAAGGCTATTTCCTCATCTACGGAATGGGGAACAAGTGTTGACAAATTTGAATAAAATAATTATGGTTTAATTTATTGGTATTATTTCACTGTGAATAAAGTAAGACATAAAAGTATGTGTTCAAAATTTATTTTGTTACTGATTAAGAGCCTAAAATATGCCAGTACATACTGAAGGCACTATTTATATATAACCACATTTAATCCCAATGAGAGCATGCGGACGTAAGATAATTGAGTGAACCCACGATTTATAAATGGTATGTGTGTGACTAAAATAATGCTTTTAGATTATGCCATGTGTTTTTGCTTTCACCCTTTACTAATATGAAATGCTTTATGTTTAACCGTAAGATGGAAATGCAAATACAGCGTTGCACCCTCTCATTTTTTATAGGAGGTTATCCCAACTTTCGATATGGCTGTCAACGAGATCTTTTTTGACCGTTATCCTGACTCAATCTTAGAACATCAGATTCAAGTAAGACCATTCAATGCATTGAAGACTAAAAATATGAGGAACCTGAATCCAGAAGGTAATTTTTTAATTGATTTTAGAGAAAGAGCGAAAAATGTTATTTATGCATTTATTGAATGACTTTTGTATGCTCTGACTGGAGATGGAACCCGCAACCTTAGTGTATCAGGACAATACTCTAACCAACTGAGCTTCCCAGCCAGGGCCAGAAGGTAATATTTTTTAATAGGGAAATACCTTACATGAAAATAAGCAAAAGCTTATTTTATCAAGGAACTTTATTTTTTTTTTAATATATTTATTGATTTTTTACAGAGAGGAAGGGTGAGGGATAGGGAGTTAGAAACATCAATGAGAGAGAAACATCGATCGGCTGGCTTCTGCACACTCCCCACTGGGGATGTGCCCACAACCAAGGTACATGCTCCTGACCGGAATTGAACCTGGGACCCTAGAGTCCACAGGTCGAAGCTCTATCCACCAAGCCAAACCAGTCAGGACAAGGAACTTTAAAATAATTGGAGGTGGTAGGTTGCAAATTGATAAAATAGTATCAGATTCAGCTAACCTGTATGATTATGAACCCACCAAGCCTTTTTTAACTTAACTGAAATTATATAAAAGAGTATATAACTGTTCTCTATCTTAAGGTGAACTTATCCAAATACTATAATTTTACACTTTCTCAGAATCACTGTAGAAAACAAGTACAAATATGATCTCTGCCCTAGAGCTTAAAAAATAAATCTAGTTGGGAAAGTAAATGAAAGAAGAGAGAATAACTGAAGAACAGTGCGGGAGATGTCTCACCCAGGGAGAGAAGGAAAGCACTGGGCCCAAGTGGGAAGAACTCATGGTGAAATAGAAATTGGGATTATAGCAAGGATTTGGAAAGCAGACATGACGGAATTCTCCTAGACAGCAGAATGTAGCCAGACACAAGGAAGCAAAACAGCTATGTGTGCACAGTGAGTGATGGCTGAAGCAGGGAGTCTGGCTCGCAGTGTTTGCATGGAGGTTGGAAAGCTTAGGTCCTAAAGAGCTTTGAATTCCAACTTAACTGAGATTTTGATTCCAAAGTCTATAGGGAGCCATTGAGGAGAAAGATTGACCACTCTTGAGAAGTTCATGGTCGGTCCAGTGTGCAAAGTATGTTGAGGTTCAATTGGGAGACTAACAATAGCTCAAATATAGGGCAACAGGATCCTAAGCTGGACGGTGGCCATCAGAGTAAAAAAACAGGACAAATATAACGCCCCAAGTATCGAGCCCACAACCCCGTAACAAATCGTCCAGTTAGAAGGAATGAAGTAGCTGAACACCATTTAGGAAGCAGGGTTTTAAGGCTTCACAAGCTGGACGGTGGCCATCAGAGTAAAAAAACAGGACAAACATATTTGCCACGTATAAAGATTGAGGTATAAAAGCTATTGGCAATTAATGAACACTGCTTTAGGTAAAAGTATAAAAGACATAAATTTCAGTCAAAGAAAATAAGACAGCCAATAAACATGAGCAAGTGTTGGACTTCACTATTTATTGAAGAATTGTAATTTTTTTTAAATATATTTTATTGATTTTTTACAGAGAGAAAGGGAGAGGGACAGAGAGTCAGAAACATCGATGAGAGAGAAACATCGATCAGCTGCCCCCTGCACACCCCCCACTGGGGATGTGCCCGCAACCAAGATACATGCCCCTGACCAGAATCGAACCCGGGACCCTTGAGTCCGCAGGCCGACGCTCTATCCACTGAGCCAAATCGGTCAGGGCAGAA